AATACAAGATGAGATTAAAGTATGCTTGAATAAGAGTACATGCATGAAGTCCACTTAATTTACAATTCAGCATTTACCACTGATTTTTTTAAAATTCACATCCTCTCTGTGCCCCAGTGGCCCTTTCATTCTCACAAGTCAGAAAAGGAGTTTCTTGTCACTATATCAATATGTTCTCAAAGAGAATCTGCCTTCAGGAGTGACTTGTCTGCTGACTTGAAAAAATTTTTTGAAGAGGTCAGTAGACATGGGAAGAAATACAGTATGAGAAAATGGAAGGAAAGACAATAAACTAATATTTATTTTAAATTCATTATAAATAAAGTCCTTAGATTAATGGTTAAATCTGTCTTCATAGGTCCTCCTTGAGGAGGCAGCATACCAACAGAACATTGTCCTTCAGGCAAGTCAAGCTCTGAATTTGTGTGTTGCCAATGACATCACCTTTAAAGGTTCCCGGGAAGAAATTGAAGCAGAAAAAGTGTTATTACTTGCAAGTAGGTGCACTTGTGAACAATGTTATCGCATTTCATCGCTGAAATTCTCTACATACTTGTATGCAATTGTCTTTGATTAAATATAGAGTAACTGATATACTCATCTGTATCTCAATTGTAGGAGCATTGAGTAATCAGAATTTATATTCTTCCTCTAAACACAGCATTAAATATTTAATCCCAGACTATCAGAAAGTGTGTAAAAAATACTTTATTTCTTATAAGTTTATTTTGACATATCATTCTTTATTATGATATACTATTATTATAATTTTATTATCAATAGTATAGTTGCAAAATTACTGACTTTCTAATTCAAACAAATTTTATTGTAAGCTGAGCACAGAACAGCATGTCTAGATGAGGTCAACAAATTGAAAACTGGTGGTGCTGAAGGTGCGCAGGAAGAGAGATGTTCTGAGATGCCAGCATGTACAGCAACCTTATCCCTGTCAGGTGACTGTCTAATAGTTATTTGACCTTGGTTTAACTGATGACATGAACATTTTTCTCTTTAGGCACAATTGAAATTCTCTATTAAGACTATTTAAAAATTATTTATTTCATAGATATCAAAATTACTCTTCATCAAGAATTTATGGACATGCTGAGAGTGGGCATCAGAAATGGTAAGGTAACAATTATATCCCCTTTTGCTGATCTTCAAGTGTAGTATGTGTAACCTTCTAAATGCTGATCTCCTGTTGGTAGTAGGAGTGGGGAGAACATTAACCTTTTCACTCTCAAGATCTAATTAGTAATTCTCCTTACTACCTGCCATACAATTCTTATAATGTT